TCTCTGAATTACTGTAATACTCTCTGTTTAAGTTCAAAGTTAATGAATAAAATATCTGCTGCACTGTGCTTGTTCTTGTGTATTAACTAAAGTACGGTTAAATTTTTATTATATAACATGTTTCAAGATAAATATCACGAACTTCTTCACAACAAAAATGGTAGAACATCAAAACAGAAAAAGTTTAAAAGATGACTTTTTTTAGACTTTTAAAAGCAATCAGCAAGTTTCATAGAAGCTCAGAGAGATCCAAAAGATGAAATAGAGATTCAACTTATTCACTCAAATAAAAGTGAAAAATTACCGTCTCTGAATGTATTTAAGCTGTGAAATTAAAAAGCAGGTCTTTGAAGGACTTTTCTGTTTTTGTGCAAATCTAACTGAACCTCATGTCATAATAATATAATAGTAAAGTAGTATTAATACACGTGAACAGGAGCATTTATTTAATCATTCTAATGAATGTACTCCACTAGAACACGTGGCTGACTTTGTCTGAACACCTAAACAGAAAAATTAGCATTGTTCTATAAATGATGCATAACTTATTTAAAATCATTTGAAATGGTGGATTTAATGTTGTACTAATAATGACAAGATTGGACCTGCTGACATTTTGTTTATTTCATGGTTTCTTTGTGAGGGAGCGGTACAAAGAACAACTGCAGAGCTCATCTCTGGTGATTGAAACAGGAAGAGCTGCATCTTAGGTTGGCAAAGTTGCATCTGAACAAACAAGATTTCTGGAACAATTTCCTTGTCACAGAAGACCAAAGTGAAGTTTGGCTATAATGCAAAAACACCACATTTGATTTGATTGGGGCTTGTTTTGCAGTCACTGATTCGACCATGAACTCATCTGTATACTGCGAAGCCATCCCTTTCACCTCCTGCGTCTTAGGTCACGTCCACATGAAAACGCCATTTTTAAATCTATCCGGGCTAGTGTGGACGTAGCCTCAGCCAGCCCGCCAAGCTTTCTGACAAAAGTCACACTTTTCGAAAACTTCGGCTTAACGCTTTGGTAAAAGCTGATGCTGACAGGATGGGAGCTAAACAACTGAAACAGGTCGAACCAGTGTGACTTTTTTTCCTTCTCTTGTGTAACTACATTGTGAAATAAAAGAAAAGAAGACTCATCTAAGGAGTTAGAACAGGAAGTGAAAATGTATTAAATTACACCACAGTTTAGAAAACACCCACTCACCAAAACTGTGAATGCAGCATCAGTCTGACATTCTTAACCTTCGAAGAAGCTTCCTGCTGTGTGACTGTGCTGCAGCGTCCGAGTGATATGTTGTGTCTTTATATTTCAATCTGCTCACTGAAAAACTGCAAAAACCCTCAAAACAGACGAAAAGAAAATAACTGTCAAAACATGAAGTGGCTGTTCAGGTTATAAATGTGTTGTAACGTAGTTGCAAATGTGCATTTCGGTTAATTCTGTTTAAAATTCTCCCCCACAGTTAATAACATTGATGTCTATGAATACCTGTGGGTCAGTAACCAGGACATTGCTGAGCACACGCTGCATACACCGTTTCTACAGCACATGCAGCTTGGAGACCTGCAGGCAGACAACTATGTCAAATTCATAATCCAAGACATCAACTATCTGGTGGCGGTCACAGACATGTTGGATGAGATGAGAAACAAAGTCAAGGTCCCCGAGGACCTCCACGATTTCATGGAGGATAGGTATGAAAGCTACAAGACGTATGCTGAAAGCACGTTAAAGGAATTTAACCTCAATGTAAGAAACCTTCAGCAACATTTCTCTGTTTAACTGGAATGTTACTGTTTTGAAGTCATTGCTACAATTTATATTTAACCTGTGTCAACAATTAAATCTACGTGTCACATCCACAGAGTGTGTCAAACATTAACCCAACCCCTGCCATGAAAAAGTACTTGTCTGATTACAAAGACATCATGGACAATCAGGATCCCATTTACTTCGCCGTGGCTCTGCTTCCCTGCTCCAGGCTGTGGCTGTGGCTAGCCAATCAGCTCAACGAGAACTGCTGCAACGCATACTTCACCTGGAAGATGTCCAACATGTACGGACACCCAGAACAGCACTATAGAGCGCTGCTCGACAAGTATCTGACCACACCAAATCAGAAGGAACTGGCAAACAAACTCTTCCGCCAGCAAATGAACAACGAGCATGACTTTTTTGCTTCTTCACTTGAATGAAACAGGAGCAGTTAATAATAAA